GGGAGTGGGTCCGAGCCTTCACAGAAACATGAGACAACATGAGCATCAGTCTTCATTGCACTGGTTAGAGGTTCTTGGGTTGGAAAGGGGTTGGAAAGGGGTTGGAAGTACCTTAGTTATGCACCAGCTGGCTTCAGGGTTTAGGGCTTAGGGAACCCTCAACAGTTTCCACGAGAGTTTCGTCCCATTCATGCTGGAAGGGGGGGGCCGCTGTGAATCGGTCTTGCGCTTGGACATGCTTTGCCACGACGATGCAGGACTTTCTGTCAAGGAGACTATTTCCCATATTAGGTGTCTGGCAGCAATGTCGTTCGCCAAGGCTCCCCGCTTCCGCGCAGGCAAGGCTCCCACGCCAGGCCCAGGGCAGTACCGGCAAGCCAAGAGCCTGTCAGGTCCGAGCTATAGCTTCGGAAAGCCGGTGACGGTGAAGCCGAAGGGCACACCAAGGCAGCAATCAGAGCATCCCAGGCTTCCCAAGGTGCAGAAAGACCAGCTGACGCTGTTGGCGCAGCTTGGCCGCGGTGGGCTTGCGACCGTGCACAGAGCACGCCTCTCCGGCAAGGAGTTGGCAGTGAAGCTTGTCCGCTCTCAGCCTGGGCTCCAAAACCCGGAGCAGGACCGCGAAGGCCTTCACAAAGAGGCTCTGCTCCTCGCCGGCCTAAACCACGCCAACATCGTGCGGGCGGTGTGCTTGGTCGCCGAGGAGGGCGCAGTCATCGGCTTTGGCCTGGAGCTCCTCGGCCTGTCCCTCGAAGCTGCCGCGCAGAGCGGCCAGCTGAGCCCTCAGCGCCTGGCAAGTGCCGTGGCGCCCATTTGCACGGCCCTGGCACACATGCACCAGCGGCTGATCGCCCACCTGGATGTGAAGCCAGCAAACATCTGCTTCACGGCCCAGCTTACGGGCGTGAAGCTGGTCGACCTGGATGCAGCGATGCCCTTGCAACATCAAGATGAGGTGGGCCAGCGCCTTCCCGGGAACGTCGCAGCCTGGTCTCCGGAGATCGCCAAGAAACAGCCGTACAGTCCTCTGGCCGAGGACGGCTACCAAGCCGGGTGGACCTTCTCGAAGCTCATCGAGGTTACACAAGGATCGCCCGACGAAGTGCTGCTGAGGCGTCTGCAGCCATTGCTTGGCCCTGCCGAGTCACGGCCGAGCATGCAGAAGATGCTGGATGAGAACCTCAGGCAGCCAGAGGAGCGGGTCAGAGAGCTGTTGCAGCTCGAAGGGCGCCCAGTCCTCCTTGGGAGCCGACCTCCGCAAAACCCACTGGAGAAGCTATTTGGCTGAGAGCATGCGGGGGCACTGAGCTGAGCTCAAGGTGCTTGGCTGCAGCATGTGCGGCTGAGGGCACGGCCCGTCTGCTATGCGCATGGCTCTGAGGATGTGTTGTGCTTCCCAGCTGAAGTAGATGAAGAAGGGCTGGCGAGCTTCCAGAAGCATCACCTCCAGAAGTCTTTGGCCAGCTACCCATCCTCAAAGACCCCAAGACATCCCAAGACGTTCCATGAGGTCCACTGGGTGCGTCTTTCGATCGGTCTGTGGTCAGTGTCGGAGAGGGCTGGCAGGAGTTGGCTTCTTCTCAGGAACAAGTACGCTGGAGCAGTTGGAGACTCCGCTCTCTTCGAAGAAGGCTCCATCCTCCAGCTGGGGCTGCTGTGCCCAACCTACTTGTAGGAGGAAGAGTACCTGGAGGAGATCCCAGCTGATCCTTCCGCACCGCTCCAGCCGGCCACGGAACGTCTTGGCCGCACGATCATTGCCCACGGCAGACCCAGATGGGCCGGCGGATCCCCATCTTCGAGCTGCAGGTGGAGAACCTCGAGTAGCAAGATCTTTGCAAATCGACGTGGATGCCGATGGACAGCTGGAGGCGCAGCAGCTGCCCCCAATCGTAATTCGTATGCTGGACAAGGACGATGCTGGCAGCGGCGGTCTGATTCTGCTTTCTTCCTATGAAGTCATGGGACAGGCACAGTGATCACTGGAGAAACAGGACCTAAACCACCTTCATGTCGCGACATGGTACGGGCTTCGGTCGGATGTCCGGAAGCTCTTCGAACCCGGCTGCCTTCGGCGAGTCTTTCGCTGCTGACTTCACCATCGAGCAGAATGAGCTTGTGGGGCTTGTGCTCTGGTCAAATCTCTGTGGCCTTCGAAGGTCCGGTGATCCCGTACCGTCATCCTCGCAGGGAGGCATTGACCAGCCCAGGAGCTGCATGCCCCTCCGGGCCTCGAGGGACTCGGGTGATCTACGGGAAGCCCTTCCTCTTGCTGCCTGACGTGGTTCTCATGCTGACAGCTCAGGGCACGGACGAGGGCTCTGCGTCCGTGAGTTTGCCCCATCACTTCCGAGGGCGAGCCTGCAAGGTCATCGAGCCTTGGGAGCCGAATCAGGCTCAGACAGCTTTTTCCCGAATGGCAGTCAAGAAGGGCGAGGCAGTGTACCACTGCTACATAGACGTCTTTGCTGAGACATCGGGCCATCTCACATGGGGCAAGGAGCTCGTCGTGGGCCGCAGCCTGACGACACAACATCTCTTCATCAAGGACAAGGATAGCAAACACACCAGCCAGTACTTCAATCAGGGTGACTGGATGCTGGATGCCCGGTCCTGGGATGAGCCCTTCGATTGGCGCGCCACACCCCCGCTATATGCTGAGCGTGCCCCTTGGGCCGAAGAGGCTGCTTCGCAACATGAAGCCCGTGAACTTTTCCGGGATGAGGACCCGCGAGCTGAAACAGCATTGCAGAAAGCAAGGACTCCGGCTCCCGTCTCACCAGCACATGCCGGAAGCGCTGAACCCGGGGCACTTCACACACCACGATTACAGCGACAATCTGCACTCCTTTTTTCGGCCCGTGGGGCATCGGATCCGAGTTCGCCAGGACCGGGACTCGAAAACCTTGGCGATTGCGACTTGGACTTCCGGCACACTTGAGTGCCAGCAAGATGGAGGTCTCCATAGCCGACCCGGACAAGGAAAGGGTCATCTTCAAGCTGGAGCCAACAAGAGCCGTAACTGTGATCCGATGTGGCACCAAGCTGGTGTCCCTTCTGGTGTCCCTTCCGCCTACAAACCAAGCGCCCAAATGAAAAAGGACGGAAGCTGCACGCTGGCGTTGCCGCATGGCGAGCAGGTGAGCCAGCAGGTGAGCCTCTCCGCTGCGGAGGCCCGGCGATCCTTGAAGGCAATCGACGAGATCTTTGAGCAGGCCAAATTTGATCAGGAGTCGGAGGCGAAGGAGAATTACACGAAAAACGTCCTTGTCATCCGCTTCGACAGAGACGTCCAGGTAGTGTGGGCTGCCCCAGAGCGCATCTCCTCTTGGGGCGAGCCTGGACAACTTCTCTTCGTGGTGAAGCTGGATTCTTCCGATGCGCTGGTTCCTGTGCGGGTGCCCTGCTTCGACTTGCTCTTCGAACTGGAGACTGCGTGGTTCCCTTGCAAGACTTTGGCAGGCCTCCATGGCGTGAAGAGTGAGCAGCTCAAGACAGTGGTCAAAGCTTCACCCCAGCAACATCCACCCTGCGCGGGCTTCCAGCGGGATGGCGGAGCACATCGCCGTCGGCCGGCGGGCACCTGGCTCCCATCCAAGATGGTGATGGACGCTCGTAGCACCCCGCTGTAAATGGCATATCTGCTGCTGGCGAAGCGGTGGCGACCGACGGCGTGCCTTCAATCCCGTCCGACAAGAGGTGGCGCTCCTGGGCCCAGCAACCTGACTGTTCTTATAGGAGAGATTTGCAGGGTTTGGGGGTTTAGGACTTAAGACTTGCGGCTTCGGAGGAGCCGGTGTCATGTGATGGCATCCCTGTAGATTAAGGCAATGGAAGTGCCTTGAAGAGAAAGGGTCTCCGGAACAACCCCCAACACCCTTCGTTAGAGCACTGTTAGAGCGTTAGAGCAGGGCACCTAATTCCCCTCACCTCACCACAACTATTAGCCGCAAGGAATCGGGTGCGCTAGTTCCGCCTGCCGCTGCCCGTGACCGCTCACGTCGGACACGGCGCTGATGGATGCGACCATCACCGCGTGCAGAAGGATGCTGGGGATGACTGCACAACTGCACAAACGCCCCTAAACATACCAAGCTACCTGTAGGTCCCAAACGTCCTAACCCTCCACGCGCAGGCCCCAAAGCGCGAACCCCAAACCCCAAACCCCAAACCCTCGACACGAAGCCCTTGGGGTTTCTTGTGGGGGTTGCACAGCGAGATCCTCTACCCTACAAGACAGTAAAACTTAGTCGCCGCATCAGGCCGCGTCGCTGCGGAAGCACGTGAAGCTGCGGTTCGGCTACTCCAAGCGCATCCTGGTGCTCAGGGAGGAGCCCAGCTCGGCGACATCATGTGGGGCTACGGCCACTCGGGGGCAGTCTGGGAGTTGCAGGGCCCGAAAGGGGCGGATTTGTTGGGGTTCAGGCGGGTTTAAGGTTTGGGGGCAGTGAGGCTTCACTTTCGGGGGTCTGCAATCGAGAGCTGGTAGAGGTGTTGGGAGTGATTCGTGGGTGGCCCAGGTAAGAGCAGCTTCCTGGACGCCAGCTTCTACCGGGAGATGCTGCCCCCACCAGCAAGGAGCAGGTGCCCAACTTCCAGTCCCACGCGCTGATGTCCTTGATGCTGGGCTGCCATGAATTTGTCAGGGCTCAAGGCTCAAGTTAGCGGACTAAAGCGACTGAAGGAATTCCATCCTTGTAAAGGAGCCGAGGGCTATAGGGATATGGGGCTGAGGACGTAGGGTCCCTCAGTGCCACCCACATTCCGAGGGGGTTAAAGCAGGCCTTTCGGCCTTCTCAAGAATGAAGAGGTTGTTATACATAAGCTCCAATCCTACACCCTAAGCCTTAAAGCCTAGATTTGCACTGGTGGGGGGGGGAGGGGATCCCGAACCCTTTGATGTCAAGCTCCCACGTCGGGTTCAAGATGTTAAGTTTGTGGGTTTGTAAGTTTAAGCCAGTTCATTCGGGTTTGCAGGGTCTAGGGGGCAAAGTGCCAAGGATGTGGTGCTTGAAGCGGATCCGTTGGCACGACGGTCACCTGAACCGGGCGGCGGCGCAGCATGCCCTGGACTCCTGGACAGTGGCCCTGATCTCCACCATCCCATGGTTTTAGGTTTGAGGGTTTACATAGGGTTTAGGGCCAGTTTCGGGGTTCAAGGTTCATCCGGACTTGAGTGCTTCCATGCAGGCCCTACATGTACAAGTACGTAAACAGACCGCCCTGTCCGACCGAAAGGGAAGAACCACAGTGAGCACAACCTCTCGGGCCGACATCGTCGAAAAAAAACCATGACAAAAGACAATCTTACAAGTCAGGAGGGATCTTGTCAGTCTAGCCAATGTTTTGGTGTTTTGTAAACAATTGGTGCCTCAAGTCTTCAAATGCTGTGCAGAAGCATCCCGTAGCATGAGAAGGCCGGCCGGTCCCTCTAGCAGCTCCTTGTTGCGTAACTTTCTTGGGAAACATGCGGAACCTCGAGCGCCTTGACTGTTTCAACGGTGCCGCTGTAGGTTCCACAAGGAGCAAGTCAAGTCCGCACTTTCACCACTGGTGACCACCTATGTTCCTTCAAAACGGAACAGGAGTGGCACATGAAACAACACATCAATCCAGGGCATCTCTTGCGAAGTACCGTTGCCGGTCGAAGGAAACCTACGCAGTTTGTTTGCGGGCCTCAGGGTCCGGAGGTCCGGCGAGGGGGCGGGGGATACCTTAAACCCTAAACCTTTCGAGGCCCCGACTCCGAGGCCCCGAAGCCCCAGAAAGCCTTATCCTATCCTGGAGGACAGCATTGAGGCCCTGAGGCCCTCCGACTTCATCAAGGCCAGGCAGCAAAGTAACCAATGGGCCGCCGAGGGTGCAAGGGGGCCGCCTAGCATGCAAGGGGCTACTTGCAAGAGGACCCACACCCGAAACCTCAAACCTTAAACTCTCAACCCTAACCCTGATTCCATAAGAGGGGGAGCCCACAACCCTCAGAGTATTGCGCTGGTTTCGAGGCTTAGGAGAGAGCAGCTTGCAGAGTTGGGTTTTTGGGGTTGCCGGTTTTGGGTGTCTTCAGGACTTCTATTCTACAGGGATGCCCTAAGCCCGAAAGACCAAGCCACCGGAGAGTTTCGGTGGGGCCAAGGCCCTCAGGCCAAGGACCTTAGGCCAAGGACCCTCGACCCCAAGAAGGCCCTACAACCTAAGAAGCAGCTGGTCAAAATCCCGAACACCCCCAAGCACCTTAAATGCCTGGCACACCTTCAGTAGCCGAAGCCCTGAGAACCCTGAAGCCGCCCTACAAGCCCGCATGAGCCGTACGACAAAAACCCCAGAAGCCCTTGTAAGCCCTAAGCCCTAAACCCCGAACCCGAAACCCTGCCGCCCCACGAGCCCCGTAAGGAAGGCCCCGAACCCTACTCCCTAAACCCTATACCCTAAACCCCCGAACAGGTCACCAATGCCCTGGCGCTGCTCGGGCTCCGCGACACCGGTCTGCGAGAGGCGACCCGAGCCTACGAACTGCAAACCCCAAAAAATGGGTCGGCTGTCTGAGGAAAGCCGACACGACTTTCAGAGTTCCTAGAAGCAGGCTCTGTCCCGTGTCGCGGTGCCAAAGCTCGAGGAGACCTTTGCGCAGCAGGCAAAGGGAGTCCAAACCTTCGGTGAGGGATTCTTCTGCAGTGCCAGTGCAGCTCAAGCATGCATCGAGAATGGGTGAAGTATCTAGGCGCAGCTTGTGGTGGATGGATCCTGGCGTCTCTGTGTCTGTATGGAGGCTCTTCAAAACGGCAGTCTGCTGGAACAGCTAGCGCCCCACGCAACACACAACGTCCAAGTCCTGAGCCGCGTACCCTCAAACCTGATCCCGAGACCGTCAGACATTCTACCAATACAGAACACGAGCCACGTGCACAACTTTCTGCAGCAACTCCCTCCGCAATAAGCATCCGAACTCCAGTTCCGCGACGCCGTGAATCCCGTCACCATCGGAAAGCTGTGGAACGACGAGGCCAGTAAGCTGAGGTATGTGCAGCGAGACTTGGCTTGCCGGCACACTGCATAGGCCATGCTTGCCACTGCATGCTGCGTCGTGCAGTGTGCTGTTGTGAAAGACACATTCTGCCCCTCTACCAGAGTACTGGTCGTTTGCGGCCAGGTGACAGCATATCTTCTGGAGCAGCGGGCTTAACAATAACCTGTCTTGCAAGGCACCAGCACCAACACTGGAGTCTCTTCAGGGTCCCTCAACTCGAGACTAAACCCGAAATACATCGTTGCCGAGGCGCTTCCGGAAGATCTTCATCACCGCGCGGCCCATGCATTTGTTGAAAGCGTGCGCTGCGCAAGGGTGCAAACGCCTCTCAACCCAGCACCCATAAAGTTATGCTCCACCCATGAGCAGGGCAAGCCGTGACTCCCTTAAACCGCAGGCCCCTCGGCGGGGTTAGGGCTCTTGGTTTTAGGGATATCGGTTTATCGTTTTCTTGGGTTTGTTAACCCGCGCTTCAACGCAAGAGAGGCGCCTGTGGGGCTTGGAGGCTTGAAACGAAGGGATTGCGGATGAAATGCATAGAGGCCTCTGAACAACCGGACCCCAACCCTCAAACCCCCAAAGGTACGAGTCTGCAGTGGTGTGCCGCATCCAGCGTCTGCAGGCCGAGAAGCCCTGTCGGTTTTCTCGGAACAAAGACTGGGGACTGAGGTGTTGCCACTCCTCTTCAGAAATTTGGGTTTGGGTGTCCGGGCAGGGGACCACAAGCCTCCTCTCCCAAGTCGCGAGCTCACTTAGGCTACCCCTGGCACCTCAAGAAGCTGCAAACACCACTGGAAGCCAACAACTACCCCAAAAAGGTTGTCCAGGCAATTCATTTGAGGGGCGTTCAGTACATCGACTAGATCTTCGAGGGTTTCAGGCTTTGCAGGGTTGCGCTCCCGAGGCCTGTCGGTTTCACGGGGGTCCCCACAGGCCCCAAACGGTTCGGCTTCAGGGTTTAGGCTTGGTCGGGCCTGCGGCCGCAGAGGTTTGGCGGATGCTGTCGAAAGACTCCAAGTCCTTCTATGTGCGGCTCTCCCAGAGGTGCCACATTCATCAGCCTCAGGGTTGATCTCTCACGGAATAGAGTGTGCAAGCAAAAAAACAAGTTTGAAAGATCGAGCCTTAAACTTCGTTGTTGATGTATGCCGGATCACACTGTGCTGTGGAATGTTTCTCCTCTCTTCGGCACCAGAACAGCGCCCATGTGCAGGCACATTCCCGACAAGGGAAAGGAGTGATCAGCTCAGCTTTGCTGTGACCAGGGGCTGTTCGTTCGCGGGCCGAGTTTTCTTCCTAAAAGGGCCTTCAGGGCTTGGTTCTGGTGTGCCCACACGGTTTCTAGGCATTCGGATGCATTCGGTATATTCCGGGCTGGATATCGCTGTTGATGATGAGCTTGCTGCATGGCTTGATCTGTTACCAGTGGCCCTCCGAAATCCTAAAGCAGCTGCCCGTCCGAAAACCGCCTCCGGTCCTCAATACCGGCACGCATAACCGCACCCCGGCAAAACGCCGCGGGAGGATTCGCGGAACCTCCAAGCCGCCAACTCGTGGCTCCAGCCTGTCCCTGCCTTTCGCCGACCATCGTTGCTCTTCAACCTTGCTTCCCAGCCATGGCCTTGCCGATGAAGAAGACCGTGAAGAAGGCAATGAAGGCCAGCCCCATGAAGGCCTTGGCCATGAAGGGAATGAAGGCAGGTCCTGCAAGACTGCGATTTGAGCTGATAGCCGTGCCGTCCCCTCGGCCACGAAGTCCCGCCTCAGGCAATGAAGAAGAAAGCCGTCAGCAAGATCGCCCACGGCAAGCTGGCGAAGATGGTCGTCTTCAAGGGTCGCAAGGAGATTGGGGTTTGGGGCTAGTGCTGTTGGTCAATTCGGCATTTGTTCACGAAGTTTTTCGCCAACTGCTGTGCCCCTCCGAGTCCTAGTCCTGACAGTCCTGCAGCAGCAGTTGCCTGAGGAGAAGACTTCGTCCGGCCTGCAGAAGGCGCAGCTCATGAAGAACAAGCGCGGCAAGGCGAGGTACCTATACTATTCTATACTTGGGTCTAGGGGTTTATGCTTCGGGGATTTTTGCGGGTCAGGGTTTATCGGGTTTAGTGAGTTCAGTGATCAGATTCTGTCGGTGGCAACCTGTATATGCATGCAAGATCGTGGTGGCAGGAACAATGAAACGCCATCGAAAGCACCATGCACGGATTGCATGCAGACGTGCTTGCCCGTGTTCGCCAGGTTGTCAGCAAGAAGCAGCATGCAAAGGGCCAGGCGCTTTTCAAGAAGTTCGCGCAGGGCTGGCTCGATGCTGTCATGACCGCGAGGAAGGAGCTGGGGATTAAGGGCTTCTGCGCTGTTGGCGGAAAGAGCGCTCAGGGCAAGGCGCTCTATGCCAAGGCCAAAGCGCTGTACGCTGCTTGAGCGCAAGGGATGTGCCTGCTTTCGTGGTAGTTCATGGAGCAGCAGTGTCAACGTGTACAGCTGACGTCGTGCAGACATCTCGCGAGCTTTTCTTGAAGCTCAAGTTTCGAGAAGTGGTGGACGAAGCGCTGCATGATGAAGTGCGCAAAGTCAAGTGACGTGCGTCCGGATCTCTTTATGCGCATCCTTTCCGGGTTCTGCCTTTGTATTGCTTCGGGGGACGCGTCCAATTTTCGTGATGGGCGCTAAGCCCTCCCAGCCCCGAAGCCTCCCCAAACTCTCTCCCCAAGACTTTTGGGGTTCAGGCTTTGTTTTCGAGTTTACTTAAGTTTACATGGCTTAGACACATTGCCTCGGGCTGCCACATGGGCCCAGGCCTTCACCGTTGCACTGGGACGTGTCCCGGCACCTGGCAGATTTGGGAGAGGCCGCGGCCTGCGATTCAAGCTTTGGGGCCTGAGCGTTTACGGTACCATGTGGTAGCCCAATCACCCAAGACCGTAGACCTTAAGACCCGAGAATCCTGAAAACGGTGCTTGCATGATGGCTTGGAGAGCTTTTTCTAAAGGCCTCGGTGGCTTTTGGGGTTGCAAAGGTCAGGGCTTAGATTCTGACTGGAGTTGTAGAGTTTGAACGTAAGGTACCTCAAACGCCGATTCTCAGCTTGTGCCACGCCGTCACTCGGCTTGTCTTTACTCCCGAGCGCAGTGGCTGTATAGCTTTGTAGTTGAGACTGACAGGAGACCTGGCGCGGACCTTCTCGGGCGCGCCAGTGGACCACATCGTAAGGTACCTCAAACAGCTCACGAGAACGACAAACCCCAAAACCGAAATCCCCGCTAGTCCGCCCGGCCGCAACTTTGCTGTGCTTCCAGGCTCATCGTAACTCCTTCCGCTGGGGCCCACTCTACATCGACATCGGCCTCGAGCAGCTGGAGGCCCGCACGGACTCAGCAGGCCAAGGTGGTCATGGCTGGAGAACCCTAAACCTTCAAAGCATCACCACAATTGACCTATTCAAATGATCCTGCTGAAGGAGGGAAGCATGTCGTTCACTTCTCACAACTTCCTGCATGGCGGATGCAGAAACATTTGCTGCCTTTGCATGATGCACCCATTGCTATGACTCTGACATGTATCCTTGGTTGTTTGCGGTGGCGGTCGTGCGGGGTTTATGGCTAAAGGTGGATGAGCGAAGGCGATGCTTGATGGTCGATGGCCCATCATCTTTCTACTATTGCCCGGGCCCCTGTGGTCCTTGAGGAAGACCGAACCCTCCAACCGCAGCCCCACATCCGAAAACCCAAAACTCCAGCCAAGGCCCTAAAGCCCCAGGCGCTCTCGTGCCCTGCCCCAAAACCTTGAATCCGCTAAAGATTCTGGCGAAAGGGGACAGTGTGGGAGACGGGTCGGGGCTTCATTTTGGGGTCGTATTCCTGAGAGATCGGTTCAAGAAGTTTGGGTACCATGAGCTCTTCGTGGGGACCCAGGTAGCGATCAGTACTTGCCGGCAAAGCACCTGCAACACGAGATGCCCTGCTCCAAGAGTGAGTTGAGAGCGGCCTAGAAGGAGGTGACCAGGGTGGAGTTTCGAGCCTCGGGGATAGGGGGGGGCCATACGCCTCGACCGCAAGCCATACTTGAGCCCCCGATTGGGTCTGCTCACTTGGAGATTTGCGCTCTGTGTTCGCAAAGTGTAGGATTTCGAATTGAAGGGGTTCGGGGTTGAATGTGTTGAGATACTCACTCATGTCCTAAGACGCTCCTTAAACCCCACCCCGGGCACCAGCCCCAAGATCACTTACTTCTACTTGAGGCTGACCTCGCTGGGCTGGGATGTCCGGCGGGTGCGCTGGGACGACTGGCTGGAGTTGGGCAACGATGACGCTAGGCAGGGTGGCTTGCCTTCTCCACGGGTTCGGATGCGGTGTTGCGCACAGTACGCTTTGGCCTTCAGGGCAAGGTCATGTTCCTTTGCAGGCTTGTGATGAGTCAGCCCCTGGCCATTGGATCATTGGACCTTGCTCCGGATAGACTTGCAGATCACACTCAGAGCACCATCTGAATGCAGCTGCCCTCAACGCACTTCCAGCCCTATACCCCAGATGTTGGAAGCCCTGAAGCGCACGCTACCCGACATCCCAAACTCTGAAGCCCAAGCCATGTAGGAAGCGGCAGTATCTGCAGATGCTCTTGGCGGACACGCGGCCAGTGGCCGAGGAAGGGACTTCCTAGCGTGGCCGCCTCCAAGGCCTCCCTAAACATATCTAAAGATATCTGCACCTTGCGCAAGCCAACCTGTTTCATCCTTTCAGGCCCCAACTGCTTAAAAGCTCTAAACTAGAACCCTTTGCGTTGATTCCTCCTCTGGTTTAGGATGGTTCAGGATCTAAGGCCGGACCCCTGCAATGTTTATGAGCCATGTTACCGGTACCCGGGTTTAGGCATGAAGGGTTCCACAGCCCTGCCTTCGAGGAGTTGCGAGACCGTGCTCCGCTCCCAACCGACGATGTGCGAGAGAAGCTGAGGCAGCTCCTTTCCTGCGCGATGGGGGGGGGGGCCGCAAGGGGGCATGCAGTGTCCTGCAGAGCCCGTCTTGAGGCTATAGGCCTCCAGACATGCCCAGAAGTAGACTGTCAAGCCCAGGACCCCTCAACCCCCACCCAAACCCCAAAACAGCCATAACGCGAAGCCGTCCGGAACGAGCGCGCAGGCAGTTCCGCGCCCTCCAGGCTGCCAAGGAAGCCGCAGAGGCCGCCATGGGCTCAGCCGCGGATCTCCTTACGTTTTCGCCCTGATCAGTCTTTACAACTTGGTTGCTTGGTCAGCTGCCGTGGTTTGTTGTCTTTTCTCCGCGCGCAAGAGCCCTGCACGCCGTCCCAGGCCGAAAAGGAGGCTTCCAGGATCGACTTTGAAATCTGAGCGCTGCCGAGCGAAAAAAGGGAAGATAGCTCTGAGATGCTTGATGTTGTCTATATCTGTCTATGATTCTGCCTGTCGTCCCACCTTTGTTATCTTTGCAGTTTGGGGAGCGTGTGTCGGAAGATGGTCGGACGTTTGGTTCCCGCCTGGCAAGGCTGATGACATGCTGGCCGATCCTGCTGTTGGTTTAGTTCAGCAGTTTAGTAACTGAATTCGGCATTTGCCTCGACTTTGAGTTTCTCATGCTTTCAAGCTGTGATCTAGAGATATCTGTTCAGGAGGGAGTGGGTCCGAGCCTTCACAGAAACATGAGATAACATGAGCATCAGTCTTCATTGCCCTGGTTAGAGGTTCTTGGGTTGGAAAGGGGTTGGAAAGGGGTTGGAAGTACCTTAGTTATGCACCAGCTGGCTTCAGGGTTTAGGGCTTAGGGAACCCTCAACAGTTTCCCATTCATGCTGGAAGGGGCGCTGTGAATCGGTCTTGCGCTTGGACATGCTTTGCCACGACGATGCAGGACTTTCTGTCAAGGAGACTATTTCCCATATTAGGTGTCTGGCAGCAATGTCGTTCGCCAAGGCTCCCCGCTTCCGCGCAGGCAAGGCTCCCACGCCAGGCCCAGGGCAGTACCGGCAAGCCAAGAGCCTGTCAGGTCCGAGCTATAGCTTCGGAAAGCCGGTGACAGTGAAGCCGAAGGGCACACCAAGGCAGCAATCAGAGCATCCCAGGCTTCCCAAGGTGCAGAAAGACCAGCTGACGCTGTTGGCGCAGCTTGGCCGCGGTGGGCTTGCGACCGTGCACAGAGCACGCCTCTCCGGCAAGGAGTTGGCAGTGAAGCTTGTCCGCTCTCAGCCTGGGCTCCACAACCCGGAGCAGGACCGCGAAGGCCTGCACAAAGAGGCTCTGCTCCTCGCCAGCCTAAACCACGCCAACATCGTGCGGGCAGTGTGCTTGGTCACCGAGGAGGGTGCAGTCATGGGCTTTGGCCTGGAGCTCCTCGGCCTGTCCCTCGAAGCTGCCGCTCAGAGCGGCCAGCTGAGCCCTCAGCGCCTGGCAAGTGCCGTGGCGCCCATTTGCATGGCCCTGGCACATTTGCACCAGCGGCTGATCGCCCACCTGGATGTGAAGCCAGCAAACATCTGCTTCACGGCCCAGCTTACGGGCGTGAAGCTGGTCGACCTGGATGCAGCGATGCCCTTGCAACATCAAGATGAGGTGGGCCAGCGCCTTCCCGGGAACGTCGCAGCCTGGTCTCCGGAGATCGCCAAGAAACAGCCGTACAGTCCTCTGGCCGAGGACGGCTACCAAGCCGGGTGGACCTTCTCGAAGCTCATCGAGGTTACACAAGGATCGCCCGACGAAGTGCTGCTGAGGCGTCTGCAGCCCTTGCTTGGCCCTGCCGAGTCACGGCCGAGCATGCAGAAGATGCTGGATGAGAACCTCAGGCAGCCAGTGGAGCGGGTCAGAGAGCTGTTGCAGCTCGAAGGGCGCCCAGTCCTCCTTGGGAGCCGACCTCCGCAAAACCCACTAGAGAAGCTATTTGGCTGAGAGCATGCGGGGGCACTGAGCTGAGCTCAAGGTGCTTGGCTGCAGCATGTGCGGCTGAGGGCACGGCCCGTCTGCTATGCGCATGGCTCGGAGGATGTGCTGTGCTTCCCAGCTGAAGATGAAGAAGGGCTGGCGAGCTTCCAGAAGCATCACCTCCAGAAGTCTTTGGCCAGCTACCCATCCTCAAAGACCCCAAGACATCCCAAGACGTTCCATGAGGTCCACTGGGTGCGTCTTTCGATCGGTCTGTGGTCAGTGTCGGAGAGGGCTGGCAGGAGTTGGCTTCTTCTCAGGAACAAGTACGCTGGAGCAGTTGGAGACTCCGCTCTCTTCGAAGAAGGCTCCATCCTCCAGCTGGGGCTGCTGTGCCCAACCCAGGAGGAAGAGTAATCCCAGCTGATCCTTCCGCTCCGCTGCAGCCACGCCCCTATGCAGTCATGGGACAGGCACAGTGATCACTGGAGAAACAGGACCTAAACCACCTTCATGTCGCGACATGGTACGGGCTTCGGTCGGATGTCCGGAAGGTCTTCGAACCCGGCTGCCTTCGGCGAGTCTTTCGCTGCTGACTTCACCATCGAGCAGAATGAGCCTGTGGGGCTTGTGCTCTGGTCAAATCTCTGTGCCCTTCGAAGGTCCGGTGATCCCGTACCGTCATCCTCGCAGGGAGGCATTGACCAGCCCAGGAGCTGCATGCCCCTCCATCGGGTGATCTACGGGAAGCCCTTCCTCTTGCTGCCTGACGTCGTTCTCATTCTGACAGCTCAGGGCACGGACGAGGGCTCTGCATCCGTGAGTTTGCCCATCACTTCCGAGGGCGAGCCTGCAAGGTCATCGAGCCTTGGGAGCCGAATCAGGCTCAGACAGCTTTTTCCCGAATGGCAGTCAAGAAGGGCGAGGCAGTGTACCACTGCTACATAGACGTCTTTGCTGAGACATCGGGCCATCTCACATGGGACAAGGAGCTTGTCGTGGGGGGCAGCCTGACGACACAACATCTCTTCATCAAGGACAAGGATAGCAAACACAGCAGCCAGTACTTCAATCAGGGTGACTGGATGCTGGATGCCCGGTCCTGGGATGAGCCCTTCGATTGGCGCGCCACACCCCCGCTACATGCTGAGCGTGCCCCTTGGGCCGAAGAGGCTGCTTCGCAACATGAAGCCCGTGAACTTTTCCGGGATGAGGACCCGCGAGCTGAAACAGCATTGCAGAAAGCAAGGACTCCGGCTCCCGTCTCACCAGCACATGCCGGAAGCGCTGAACCCGGGGCACTTCACACACCACGATTACAGCGACAATCTGCACTCCTTTTTTCGGCCCGTGGGGCATCGGATCCGAGTTCGCCAGGACCGGGACTCGAAAACCTTGGCGATTGCGACTTGGACTTCCGGCACACTTGTGTGCCAGCAAGATGGAGGTCTCCATAGCCGACCCGGACAAGGAAAGGGTCATCTTCAAGCTGGAGCCAACAAGAGCCGTAACTGTGATCTGATGTGGCACCAAGCTGGTGTCCCTTCTGGTGTCCCTTCCGCCTACAAACCAAGCACCCAGATGAAAAAGGACGGAAGCTGCACGCTGGCGTTGCCGCATGGCGAGCAGGTGAGCCAGCAGGTGAGCCTCTCTGCTGAGGAGGCCCGGCGATCCTTGAAGGCAATCGACGAGATCTTTGAGCAGGCCAAATTTGATCAGGAGTCGGAGGCGAAGGAGAATTACACGAAAAACGTCCTTGTCATCCGCTTCGACAGAGACGTCCAGGTAGTGTGGGCTGCCCCAGAGCGCATCTCCTCTTGGGGCGAGCCTGGACAACTTCTCTTCGTGGTGAAGCTGGATTCTTCCGATGCGCTGGTTCCTGTGCGGGTGCCCTGCTTCGACTTGCTCTTCGAACTGGAGACTGCGTGGTTCCCTTGCAAGACTTTGGCAGGCCTCCATGGCGTGAAGAGTGAGCAGCTCAAGACAGTGGTCAAAGCTTCACCCCAGCAACATCCACCCTGCGCGGGCTTCCAGCGGGATGGCGGAGCACATCGCCGTCGGCCGGCGGGCACCTGGCTCCCATCCAAGATGGTGATGGACGCTCGTAGCACCCCGCTGTAAATGGCATATCTGCTGCTGGCGAAGCGGTGGCGACCGACGGCGTGCCTTCAATCCCGTCCAACAAGAGGTGGCGCTCCTGGGCCCAGCAACCTGACTGTTCTTATAGGAGAGATTTGCAGGGTTTGGGGGTTTAGGACTTAAGACTTGCGGCTTCGGAGGAGCCGGTGTCATGTGATGGCATCCCTGTAGATAAAGGCAATGGAAGTGCCTTGAAGAGAAAGGGTCTCCGGAACAACCCCCAACACCCTTCGTTAGAGCACTGTTAGAGCGTTAGAGCAGGGCACCCAATTCCCCTCACCTCACCACAACTATTAGCCGCAAGGAATCGGGTGCGCTAGTTCCGCCTGCCGCTGCCCGTGTCCGCTCACGTCGGACACGGCGCTGATGGATGCGACCTACATCACCGCGTGCAGAAGGATGCTGGGGATAACTGCACAAACGCCCCTAAACATACCAAGCTACCTGTAGGTCCCAAACTTCCTAAACCTCCACGCGCAGGCCCCAAAGCGCGAACCCCAAACCCCAAACCCCAAACCCCAGACCCCAAACCCCAAACCCCAAACCCTCGACACGAAGCCCTTGGGGTTTCTTGTGGGGGTTGCACAGCGAGATCCTCTACCCTACAAGACAGTAAAACTTAGTCGCCGCATCAGGCCGCGGCGCTGCGGAAGCACGTGAAGCTGCGGTTCGGCCACTCCAAGCGCATCCTGGTGCTCAGGGAGGAGCTGGACCAGCTCGGCGACATCATGTGGGGCTACGGCCACTCGGGGGCAGTCTGGGAGTTGCAGGGCCCGAAAGGGGCGGATTTGTTGGGGTTCAGGCGGGTTTAAGGTTTGGGGGCAGTGAGGCTTCACTTCGGGGGTCTGCAATCCAGAGATGGCTGGGAGTGATTGGAGGGTGGCCCAGGTAAGAGCAGCTTCCTGGACGCCAGCTTCTACCGGGAGATGCTGCCCCCACGACCAAGGAGCAGGTGCCCAACTTCCAGTCCCACGCGCTGATGTCCCTGATGCTGGGCTGCCTTGAATTTGTCAGGGCTCAAGGCTGAAGTTAACGGACTAAAGCGACTGAAGGAGTTCCATCCTTGTAAAGGAGCCGAGGGCTAGGGATTTGGGGCTGAGGATGTAGGGTCCCTCACTGCCACCCCACATTCCGAGGGGGTTACAGAAGGAGACCTTTCGGTCTTCTCAAAAATGAAGGGGTTGTTATACATAAGGCTTCGAGGGTAGTCTACGAC